AAACAAAAAAATGTAACTCTTGTTTCATTTTTCCCTTTGAGCCTCTCCGTGTTTTTCCTTTCTTTTTTCTCCTTTTATTCTGCTTTTGTGTTTTTTAGATTTTGCTGCTTTGCTTTTTCGCTTTTCCGACGTTGATACTTTTTTCGCGTTTTTCGCGAAGTTAGAATATGCTACGGTCTGGATGACATAAATTTACCAAAGAAGATAAAAAAATATCTTTTTCCAAGGTTGTGCTTCATCGAGGCGAGATGAAGCGCAACCTAGCGTTTGGGGGCGCAACCAAGCTCATGTTTGTGCGATAAATGACTTTGGTTGTGCTCCCAAGCACTTGGTTGTGCTTCATCGAGGCGAGATGAAGCGCAACCCCGAAAAATGATGTTTTCTGTTCTTTGGTAAATTCTAGTGAGATAGGTGCCATACGAATGATAGTAGTAGTAGTCGTAGTCGTAGTCGTCGTCGTAGTAGTAGTAGTAGTAGTCGTAGTAGTAGTAGTAAAAGTAGTAGTAGTAGTAGTAGTAGTAGTAGTAGTAGTAGTAGTAGTAGTAGTAGTAGTACTACGGCCAGGACGGATGTGCTGCCCGGGAAAGTGCGTTTTGACTACGCAGGGCCAATGTTTTGTGAGATTCCCCGTGTCGTTCGTTTGGGCAAACGGATGACGAATTTTTCCCTCATTTCATCAACATCATCATCATCATCAGCATCATCAGCAACAACATCAACATCATCAACATCATCAACATCCCAATTGACTGTAAAGTTTAACGGGGGTAGGAGTTTACTATTCCCTAATACCCTTGTTGATCTTCCCAATTGAATGCAAAGTTTAACGGGGATGGGAGTTTAATATTCCCTAATACCCTTGTTGATCTTCGCAATTGAATGTAAAGTTTAACGGGGGTGGGAGTTTAATATACCCTAATACATTTGTTGATCTTCCCATTAGAATGCAAAGTTTAACGGGGGTGGGAGTTTAATATTCCCTAATACGCTCGTTGATCTTCCCAATTCAATGTAAAGTTTAACCGGGGTGGGAGTTTAATATTCCCTAATACCCTTGTTAGTGGGAGAACCTCCACAGAGTCAACCCCTAACTTGGTTGACCCTCTGGAGGCCCTCCACCGGGTCCACGTATTCGGAGTTCGGAACGTACTTGTACAGAACAAAAAACGATACTTTATGCATACTTAGTAGAAATCACAAGGTCAACAACTAACCAAAAACATTAGTTTCTGTGGACCCGGTTGGACTTTATGTAAACTTGCTAGAAATCACAAAGGCAACAACTAACCAAAAACAATAGTTTCTGTGGACCCGGTGGGAGAGCCTCCACAGAGTCAACCCCTCACTTGGTTGACCCTCTGGAGGCCCCTCCACCGGGCCCACCTATTCGGAGTTCGGAACGTACTTGTACAGAACAAAAAACGATATTTTATGTATACTTGGTAGAAATCACAAGGTCAACAACTAACCAAAAACATTAGTTTCTGTGGACCCGGTTGGACTTTATGTAAACTTGCTAGAAATCACAAAGGCAACAACTAACCAAAAACAATAGTTTCTGTGGATCCGGTGGGAGAGCCTCCACAGAGTCAACCCCTCACTTGGTTGACCCTTTGGAGGCCCCTCCACCGGGTCCACGTATTCGGAGTTCGGAACGTCATTGTACCGAACAAAAAACGATACTTTATGTAGTCGTGGCGGAAGCGCCTCCACAGCGTCAACAACTAGCTCAGTCGACTCCCTGGAGGCCCGTCCAACGAGTCCGCGTGCTGACAACACGGTATACCTACAAGAATAACGATTCACCAACAACAAGCACACAAACATTCCAGCTGCTTGGGTGAGCTTTTCAAACTCCAAAAGTTTCTTTCCAACCGATTCTTGTCCAAAATGCCTACCTTATACATCTAACGTTAGAAATCGGCAAACTCTTCAACGCAATTTCCACGAAGTCATGAATCCGCTTGTTGATCTTCGCAATTGAATGTAAAGTTTAACCGGGGTGGGAGTTTACTATTCCCTAATACCCTTGTTGATCTTCCCAATTGAATGCAAAGTTTAACGGGGGTGGGAGTTTAATATTCCCTAATACCCTTGTTGATCTTCCCAATTCAATGTAAAGTTTAACATGGGTGGGAGTTTAATATTCCCTAATACCCTTGTTGATCTTCTCAATTGAATGTAAAGTGTAATGGGCCTGGGCGTCGGTAGTGGTAGTGGTAGTAGTAGTAGTAGTAGCAGTAGTAGTAGTAGCAGTCGTAGTAGTAGAAGTAATAGTAATAGTAATAGTAGTAGCAGTAGTAGTAGTAGTAGCAGTAGTAGTAGTAGTCGTCGTCGTAGTAGTAGTAGCCGTGGTAGTAGTAGTAGTAGTAGTCGTCGTCGTCGTCATAGTAGTAGTAGTCATAGTAGTAGAAGTAGTCGTCGTCGTAGTAGTAGTAGTCGTCGTCGTAGTAGTAGTAGTCCTCATAGTAGTAGTAGTAGTCCTCATAGTAGTAGTAGTAGTAGTAGTAGTCCTCATAGTAGTAGTAGTAGTCCTCATAGTAGTAGTAGTAGCAGTAGCAGTAGCAGTAGCAGTAGCAGTAGCAGTAGCAGTAGTAGTAGCAGTAGCAGTAGCAGTAGCAGCAGTAGTAGTAGTAGTAGTAGTCCTCATAGTAGTAGTAGTAGTAGTAGTCGTAGTCGTCGTCGTCGTCGTCGTCGGCGTCGTCGTCGTCGGCGTGCTTGCGTTACAAACAGTCGCACCTTCTCTTGCCTCTCCCTCCTGCCTTTCCCCCCCCTACCTTTCGTCCCCCCCTCTCAAGTGCCTTTGCACGCACAGCCAAAGCTTGCCCAAATCGTCGCTGATTTGCACAGGTCATTTCAACATTCTAGTTCAACATAGTTCAACATAGTTTTGTAAGGTTTTTGTTCAAAATATGTGTGTTTGGTTGTTTTCTCCCTTTTTTTCATTTGCCTTGGTCAATTCTTTAATGGTCAGTTTTCGTCATTCCCTAAGGCACTCCCCAGGAAATCGGAAACAAGCAGAAAATGACCCCAAAAAAATACAAAAACCTAGAACATTACCAAAAAACGATCAACACATACCAGAAAATTACCAAAAAAAACAAATAACAATTACCAAAAAATATGAAAAAATACAAAAAAAAAGAACCACAGCCTACTGGTAGAAAATGACAAAACAACTGACCAAAATTGATCAAGAAATGGCTAAGAAATGAGCAAAACCTAGAAACTAACCAAACAACGACCAAGAAAAGACCAACACCTAGAAAATGACCAAATAATTAACAAAAACTGGTCAAACCATAAACAACAAATGCCGAGAGAAAACCTAGAAAATGATCAAAAAACGACCAAACTACTACCAATACCCAGAAAAATTTACCAAACAATTGCCAAATATACAATTATTTGCAGTTTTGCAGCCTCAGGCTCCATAGAAAACTTACGTACAGGCATAGTTGAAATACTCCTTTGAAGGTGTCCTGCGTCTAAGAAGCTAAGGCTTCTTTGGCACCAGCACATCATCGCTTGAGCATGCACAAGCCTCACCGTGAAATGGAATGTAATGTAGTGTATCAAAGTTGAAGTGAGTTGGAAATGGCTGAAGTGCTTGGCTATGCCTGTTCTCAAACTCTCTCACCGTAGTTCTCAGGGCAGAAGCCGCTGTATCTGACTCAGACTGGATCATGGCAGATGGTTCGGCCCCCTGAGTGTCATCCCAGGTCAATTCAAAGAGGCACCAGCAGCACTAGATAGCACTGGCATAGCACTAGCAAGTCTTGCTGAAATTTCAGCAGTTTCATGTGCTGAAGTGCTGTAGGTTGGGAATGTGCATGCCGCGACAGGTGGACACCAACTGTCAAGGTGCAAGCTCGGGAAAAAATGTGTCATAACATGTCATAATGTCATAACAGTGTGAGTTTAGTGGGACATGTAGTGACCTGAAACTCAGGGCACGCTAAGAAAGAGTAGGTTTTGTCTTGAAGCGCAAGGTTGTTGAGCGATTTGCAGCTGAGCTCAACAAGGTCAGGGGCTTTGGAATGCAATCGTTTTACATTGTTTCCAGAGATATCTGAGAGATCTTGGCTTTCTGGATGTGCAGGTTGCAATTTCAATTGGAACAAAGCGTCCAGAAGTTGCACAAGTTCGAACTGTGCCTGCCTCAATGCAATTTGGATCGAGAGAAATCGAAGCTACCAGATGCTACCAGTAGGGCCAGTAGGGCAGCTGGCAGTTTTGGGGTTCCGGATCTCAGGGTTCCTGATGTCTTTTTCTAGTTTCTCTTTGCTGTTTTGCTATCAATCTTGGTTGTTCATGAACACAGTACCACAGTGCATCCCCTGCCACTGGGTTACAAACATGGCAGAAGTTTATTGTGTTAGAATAGAATTTTTATCACTCCTTTTCCAAGCTGCTTGTTAGTGCACAACTGCAGAAGAAATCCATTGTGAAATTTGGAGACAGCGCCTGGCCAAAATCCGCCAGGGGCACAGTGACTTGAGCATCCCACCCCCACCGACATATACTCAGTGCAAACATTGGAAGACCTATCCACGCACAGAGAGAGAGAGAGAGAGAGACAGAGAGAGAGAGAGAGAGAGTGTGGGTGTGAGTGAGAGTGAGAGTGAGAGTGCAGACGCACAGACAGACAATGGGCTCGAAACACATCCCAGCAAGAACCAAACGGATCGCACATGTATAGCTGGCCACCATACCGGTTCCATTTGGCATCAGCCAGAACACTACGCAGCCAGCCTGCCAAACACAGCACATACGCCGCGGCTGCAGCCGCAACACGACGGGGTATCACTCCCCATGACCTTACCGGTCTTCATCACAAGAAACACAGCCACAAGCAGCACAGCCTGCCGGCTTTTCCGCGCTTTGCGTGGGGTGCCCCTTAACCCGTGCCTTCATTCATGGCTCGCCAGGTTGTGCGCACTTACAACTACACACACAGTGCATGTGAAGTGCAAGTTCAACAGCTTGCAGGCCAACAACCAGCTGGTCCATCCTTGCTGCATGTAGACCTTGCTTGGTGCCTCCGAACCTGCTGCTGCCACAAAATATGAGATGACAATCATGACATGACAAACTCTATGAACCACCATGTTGCCGTTGAACTTGTAGCACCATTAGCACCGACACCAGGTGGGACCAGATTTGACCCATTAGAGAGTGGAAACACAACATATGAAGATATGACATGACAAGAATCTTGGAGGAGCCCGTTCAATATCCCCATGAATATTGACTTGTTCAATACCACTTTGTTTGCCAGGGTGCCTCCGCCTTGGCCATGGGCCGGTGTGAAATGGTTGGGGAGAGGGGTGCTCGGCTTCCTGCCAAGAACTTCCCTCAAATGGCTGGACACATTGACAGCGGCCCAAAGCACGCGATGCACACGATGCACACGATGCACACTTCCAACCTACATGCCAACTTGGATGTGTTTATGCTTTTCCTGTGCGCCCGGATAAGACAAAGATGCACTGATTCAGCCTCCATCCAATACCTGCCATCCAATACCAATTGCTTATTGAATGGAAGAGTGCCTGATGGACACGGGGGCGAGGGGTTTTGACTCCCAGCGCGATGAATTCGCAGGAAGAGCGATGCTTTACACAACTCTTCCACAAAAAAACACTAAAAAGGTTCTTGAGTTTATGAATACTTTAGCACTCCACTTCAGGATGTGAGTGAAATGGTCTGTTCATTCCCCAAGGTCGGCTTCATCCGTCCATTGATCCAAGGTGATGCTTTGTGGTGGTGACGTTCTTCAGTCGTTTAACGACACCAAAAAGACCGGTGAACGCTTATGGACCGACAAAGAGATTGAGGCAGAGCAGTGCAAACTACAAAGGCTCTCGACTATTGAAAGGTACTGATGTTGTGGTGAATATGCGATATTTGATGTGTATGGTGACAAATGATGACAATTTGTGCCGTTTGGTGTTAAATGTTGTGAAGGTTCTACTTGGCCAACATGGTGTTGTTTGTGTTGGACGAAGCGAAGTAGATCTTGAAGCATGGGCAGCACACCAAGACAGCAGAAGTTCACTAGGCTCACCAAGATCATCTTCATTGCCGCATCATGAGATTCGAGAATCAGCTGAGGCGCATGAGTCTCCAGTCCTGAGGACGCATCTTGACAACTTATTCTTTGCCAAGCCACGTGCGCTTTCAGGTGCAGTTGCCTGTGGCCGTTGAAAACAGCTGCCAAAACACACGGTAAAAGGTGGTGAACCAAGGTGAATAATAGATGTGATGGTGTGATTCATATGATGGTGTGCATATTCAAAATGTACCATACAAGTGGGCATGTGTTCAGATTACAGACAGCATCGACTTGAGGCATCAGCTCCAGCGTGGTTCGGGCGCATTTGGCGTCAAATGAAAGTATCCGTTATCTTGTACATGACAAGGCTGACTTTGCTTCAGTTGCATCCCTTTCTTCACATGGGCCAGCAAGGAGAGCTAGACAGGGGAAACGTGGGGAAACAAGATTGGCGAAACTCTCTCTCTCTCTCCTATTCAGTGCCTTGCCGCAGGTTCGAGACTACATTCTCGATCACAAACTCAATGAGCTGCCAAATTGGCAATGAGCTTTGGACCTGTGTCCCGAAATCAAATTTAAAGCTTTTGACTTTTGAAATCAGCAAGAATGCTGTCTTTGTGCGCATCTCTTTTCATGGTGGCGGCTTGTCAAATTTTGACAGAATGTAACCATGGAAAATGACATCGTTTTCCATCATCCGGTTGTCAAAGTCACAGCAAAGGATGTTTTTCAATTGCCAGAGCCTTGTTGGGCAATGTTAGACGGGCAAATGACAGCAGAAAAGTGCAGTGCACAAGATGCTGCCAGGCCTGACTGATGGGATCAGATTGCAATTGTTGGAGATCCCATATCTGAAGTTGCAGGCGCAGCACAACGGCTCAGTGGCGACAGCCAAGTGCGGAATCTGAGACATGGAACCCAAGATGCAGCATGCACTGTTGTTGTACACTCATGTACACTGTACATCACTGTACATCACTGTACATCACTGTACATCACTGTACATCACTGTACATCACTGTACATCACTGTACATCACTGTACATCACTGTACATCACTGTACATCACTGTACATCACTGTACATCACTGTACATCACTGTACATCACTGTACATCACTGTACATCACTGTACATCACTGTACATCACTGTACATCACTGTACATCACTGTACATCACTGTACATCACTGTACATCACTGTACATCACTGTACATCACTGTACATCACTGTACACTGTACATCACTGTACATCACTGTACATCACTGTACATCACTGTACATCACTGTACATCACTGTACATCACTGTACATCACTGTACATCACTGTACACTGTACATCACTGTACATCACTGTACATCACTGTACATCACTGTACATCACTGTACATCACTGTACATCACTGTATATCACTGTACATCACTGTACATCACTGTACATCACTGTACATCACTGTACATCACTGTACATCACTGTACATCACTGTACATCACTGTACATCACTGTACATCACTGTACATCACTGTACATCACTGTACATCACTGTACATCACTGTACATCACTGTACATCACTGTACATCACTGTACACTGTACATCACTGTACATCACTGTACATCACTGTACATCACTGTACATCACTGTACATCACTGTACATCACTGTACATCACTGTACATCACTGTACATCACTGTACATCACTGTACATCACTGTACATCACTGTACATCACTGTACATCACTGTACATCACTGTACATCACTGTACATCACTGTATATCACTGTACATCACTGTACATCACTGTACATCACTGTACATCACTGTACATCACTGTACATCACTGTACATCACTGTACATCACTGTACATCACTGTACATCACTGTACATCACTGTACATCACTGTACATCACTGTACATCACTGTACATCACTGTACACTGTACATCACTGTACATCACTGTACATCACTGTACATCACTGTACATCACTGTACATCACTGTACATCACTGTACATCACTGTACATCACTGTACATCACTGTACATCACTGTACATCACTGTACATCACTGTACATCACTGTACATCACTGTACATCACTGTACACTGTACATCACTGTACATCACTGTACATCACTGTACATCACTGTACATCACTGTACATCACTGTACATCACTGTATATCACTGTACATCACTGTACATCACTGTACATCACTGTACATCACTGTACATCACTGTACATCACTGTACATCACTGTACATCACTGTACATCACTGTACATCACTGTACATCACTGTACATCACTGTACATCACTGTACATCACTGTACATCAGTTCTGAACTGATGTCTATCTGATGTCTGTAGATTGTGCAGAGGAGGCATAGCTCCAGGTACCTTGTGAAGAAAAAGCTCCAACTCGGAGGAATTGAGTCGATGTTGGATGTTGGAGGCCTGGTGAAGGGAGTTATGTCATATGTCACCAAGCTTGAATTGGTTGCATCAGTGCTGTCCAGGTGGGTCCGGTGCATTTTCCTACGTCTTCACAGAGGCAATGGAATAAAAATCAACATCTTCAAAGGGCTTATTGATTCATTTACTTTGTTGATCTTTGTTGGTATTTGTTGATCTTTGATCTTTGTTGATCTTTTTGGTACCGGGTTGGAAAGACACAACCACCAGCGTCACCATCACCATCACCATTATCATTATCATGAGGCATGATGTTCTTCTTTTCTTGGTGGATTTGCATCTTCTGGGCAGCAGCACGATCACGGTTCGTTTCCAGTCTTGTATGAAGTGGGTGCAGATTATTGTCATGTTCCACCTGTGCCCTATGTGGAGGAAGGCTTTTGCTACAACTTAAAGCCATGCGAAGCCACTATTTGCAGAATTTGCTTGAAACATTCAGATCATAGATTCATTTTGTTCATGTTGGTCCTATTTTTTCATCGCCGCTCGTCCTCTAGCGCTGTCTTGGACAACGTCCCGATTTGGAGTAAAAGGTTCCATTTGATTGAACAGGCAGCAACACCAGGCTCCCCTGAAGGATGAGTCAAATTACCCAGTGATTGCGGCTTGCAGGCTACCCCTGGCCTCAAGTCTACTGTGCTCGAGTTGCCAGAGGCAATCTGGACAAGACAGACACTACAATGTTTTTTCAAAGCAGGACATTGCATTGGAGCCAGCTGATGCTGTACTGACTCTTTCAAGGAACTCTTTCTCAATTCCCCCGTTCATCAAAGAAGAGAAAGTTTTCACGAATCAAATGTATGTAAGTCCAATCATGCAAGGTTGGTTGCGTTGCCTTGTGTCCAAGTTGATAAATTGAGCAGTGCTGAGAATCACGGCAGGATGGATGCGGATACGGATTTAGCATGATTTAGCAATGTAGATCATTTATGATCAGTTCATTTGGACATATTTCATGATTAGCTAATCTTTCCTTCCTCTATTCCGTGCAAAATTCCTTTTTGCCGGTACATTGCAACTTGACAACAATACCGTTTGCCCATGAAGTACACCTACATTTTGTGCCGGCATCGATCCTTCTGAATAGGAATTGTCATTTTTTGTTCGTTTTAGGACTTGTGCAATGCCACTGCTCTGGTGGCACACTGGTTGAAAAGGCCATGTCCACAGTCCAATCCGTTGCGCAATGCAGCCGCTTGAAGGTTTGCAGAACAGGAGAAAGCATCAAGACTCAGCAGAGTAAGGACTTCTTTGCAGAGGGTTCGGCGATTGCAAAGACTTTCATTGCGACATTTTGCAAGCTAGAGAGGCTAGAGAGTGAACTCTGAGAGGACATTCAGGACCGCGTCAATTTTGTAGAGTTGGATGCCACAAGTCCAGATTGGCCAGTGGAACTGCCAAGTTGGGTTGCAAGCTTTCCACTCAGAGAAAACTCGACTGGTAGAACTTTGTGCCAGGTCAGTGACAACAGCTTCGACATTGTGCTAATGGCATGAGCCTTAATATTACATGTTACAGATGTTACAGTTTGATATCAAGTCTAATATCACTTCAAAATACTTAAGATATCACTTTGTCATTTGCAGTGATTAGGACATATTAGGACACTATCGGAGCACACATGTTCTTTTCCTGTCACAAATTGTTCCTGTGTTTATACCGCAGCTTTTCTGCGTGCCAGTCCTACATCAGCGGCTCGGTGCCAGAGAGTGTCATTCTGCCTCTCTACAAGAATGCATTCAAGGTGCGTCTCGGGCAGGATATCGCAGTGAAAATGGACATTGCAGGATATTGCAGGATTGTATTGTGGCAATTTGTGGCATCTCTGGACGGTATCAAAACGACACAAAAAAATGCGTCGCTGTGAAGTCATGAACTTTGCAAGGGTTGCATTTGAGCTGCAATCAGACACAATGATACACAATGCAGATGACCTTCTTTTGGCTTTGTTTCACGTTGGTGTCCTCTTAACACAGACTCTACTGCTTTCTCAGCGTCACAGCAAATCGAAGGGGACATAGAAACAAATGGCCACCTTGCTTTATCAGAACAGGCTAGGAATTCCTGGGTCATGCAACTCCCATACAACTCTAGGTCATGCGGCAGTGATTACCATGAGCACTAAGAAAGATCCAATGAAGCCAAAGACATGTTGATGCTTTTAAGTCTCTTTCAACAAGACCCTGTACGGGTACTTACAGGTTCCCCTCAAACTGGTGCACGCCTACGCACATCTACCCATCAACTTCTTTATATATACAATTAATACATGTTTATACACAAATCTTCTGGAGATTTTGACACCGCAAGCCGGCATAGCAAAGATCGCGTGATGCTTAGTGTTTCAGCCGTTGAGAGCTGCAATTCATCGTGTTCCTGATGCATCCTGATACCCTGTATGTCGTGCTCCGATCCATTTGGACTGATTTTTGCGAGTGCCGCAAGTAATTGCTGCAAGTACGTCGTGGCTAAGTTCAAGATGGCGCTGTCACTGCCATTGACGTTCTGGCCTCAGCCACAGCTGACAAAGCCACAGCAACTTGGATCCACTATATATGGCTCAAGGTCCTACAGCCATGTGAGGCAGGCCCAGGAGCTCAGCATTGCATTGAAGCATGCGTTTCAATGTCAGCCCGGAATAACCCTCCCTCAACGAGCCTCAACCCCTTTCACCTCAACATACCTCAACCCTGAATTGTCCGGTGGTGCCTCTCAAACCATGGGTTGTTTTCTCTGGCGGAGGAATCTACGAGGCGATGCTTAAGTCACAACCCACCTCAAAGGCGTGGGCGCAGTCACATGGAACATGTGTGCTTTGCTTTGTTGCCTAGAAATGTAGGCCCGGCATGCCGTCACATGTCAGAGCTGAGCCGTTCTATGCCTGCAACTCAGCTGATGAACTGAAGATCTTCACAGTCTGAGAGTGTGATTTGCGAAGCACTTCCTTTCTCAGCAAAACTCTGGATTTGACAAGGCTGGTCTTGTTCTCGGATGTGCTGGGTTCGCATGGAGAAAGCTCTTGCTACTTTGGCTAATTTGGCGTCAATTTGTGTGCTGACATTTAGTCTTTGAGTCTCTTTGAGAGAAAGAGAGGAGATGCAACAAGATGGCTTGAGGTCCCGCCGCGGGCAAAAGAGGACTTTTCAGGTGCGCGCTTGCAAAGAGCTTGATGCATCTTAGATGCCCTCTGCATTTCACAGCATTTCCGCAATTTCTCCTGACGGAACTCCCGGGCCGCAAACTGGCAACATCCAGCCAAAGCTGAGCTCTCTCAAACTGACACTTTTTGATGTGTGTTTCGCCCTTTTTGGGGGGAATTTGAAACCTTGCACACGGGTAATGTGTTTGTCAGTCACCTGTAGGAGGGGCTTACAGATAGCATCACTTTCTCATACGACTCAACCAGAACGAACAAGTTCAACTTATTCACCGTACTTTTCATCCCAAGAATGCAGGTTTGCTTGCCAGCCACCGGGAGTACCATTGAGACGCTGTCAAACTGGCATGTTCGATTCATATTTGCTCCAGAGCCTTGTCGTTGAGTCCTTTGTCGACATTACGCAGGGAGCAAGCTGATCTTTCCGAGGAAGAGCTGCATTTAGCTCAGAAATGGCAGATTTCCTTTCATACACCAAGGCAGGCCAAGAAAGGTCTGGGCTGCCCCACTCTGAAGTCGTAGCATATTGATACTGGTGGCTTGTGCCACTGGAGAGTGACTGAGTGGCTCGCCTCAACCTGGACTAAGGTTGTCAATCTTCAAAACCGCATCTGAAGGAAAAGACCAAGTAACCTTTGACCAAGCCGCAAGCCTTGAGCTCAAAAACAGCTGGCAGACAACGCTAATAATTCTCATGATGATAACATTATTCATCATTATTCCCTTTAGAACAGAATAGCGAAAGACAATAAGGGGCCGATAGGGGCCGAATGACTCGAGGTTTGGAAGGTGTCGATGCAGTTCTGGAAGAAGGAGCAGCAAACTTGGAGGAGCTTAAGGTGATTTGGGGCGACCCTGATGAGTCGCTGGACTTTGATGGGTTCTGTGCACGCCTCAGCCTCCCTATGGCGCCGCAGACGTTCCACATCGTTCCACTACATTGTCACAAAATGAGTGGTTTGCTTGCTTTTTGTTTTTTGAATGATTTGGGAGGCAGCTGGTACAATGATGTCCTGAAACTCTATGCTTCTTGGCAGTAATTATGTGACTGCCATTGCAACGGAGGCCATCATGCTCTGACACTCAGCAAACATGTTTTTCGGGCTGCATTGTGATGTCCTGCCTGCATTGAAGAAGCATATTACCAAGATATAGCCATTTTACAGATTTGTTTTCATGCTTTCAATTCAAGCAGTCTCACAGAATAATGAAGTCGCTGGCTACATGTAACGGTCATTGTCATTTCTGTTTTTGATTTTGCCACATGTAGATTGTTGCATTGTGAATGCGCCATGGCAGGATGCGTTTCTTTGGCAAGACGCAGTAGCCCCTCCGTCAGAGTTGTTGGAAGAAGAACGAGACGCAGAGGATTGAAGTTGCTTTTAGTCAAAGAATGACAAAGAATACAAAAGAATTGGATTTGCCTGGCTTTTGTGACCCACTTGATAGTGATAGGATGTGATAGGTAACTGCTGTCAATGATTTTGTACATAGTTCCGAGGGTAGTACTGACATGTCTGTCTCGTAGAGAGGACCTGCGCAACCTGAGTGACGAGAAGCTATGGCATGTTTTGGACAGTTTCGAATAGACAAGCTTTGGCCGTGTTTGGGTTGTTTTTGGCAGGGATGATGGTAAATGTAAGAAACGTGGTAGAGCCTTGGTAGGGTTTCATTGCGTCTGAAAGTCCAGCTGCCAACCCCGACACGGCAGGCAGCTTTTAGAAGATGCTCCAGCAATCGGAGTAAAGGTGCAAGACTTGAGGACGAGCGTCCTCAAGCCCAAGCAAGAGATGAGATATGGAACTCTGGCAATCCCCGCCTGATTCAACAATTTATGCAACATGTTTGAAATACTGGCACCGCACAAATGCTCTGCAGCCTGGTCCACAGTTCATCAGAAAGAAGATATATACATGAAACAAGTATTGATCAAGCTGAGCAACTAACAACAAGAGATAACAAGAGTCTGTTGCAGATGTTCACTCTGGACATGTCTGAGTTGGCCAGACTGACAAAGTGCCGGTTCCTGAAAAGCCTTTGTGGAAGCAGTTCGAGGAGGAGCAGGCAAGAAAGGCAGGAAAAGCTCCTGAAGAAGAGTATGGCAGCGTGACTGGAATTTTGTAGTTTGTAGCATTTGCTTGTCGTGGTTTTCGTAAGTCCTTACCTGCTAGGCTAATTCATGTTTCTTTGGGATCCTATCTTTTGAATTCTTTTTCCCCCACAGCAGAAGCTTTGGGGTCTTCAGCCATAGTAAAGGTTTCGGAGCAGACCGGAGCAGCTCCAAAACCACTTGCGATGGAAAAAGGAAAGCGGATTGCTGAGTGGCTGGTGTATCAGCTTGAGTTTTGATATAGATAGAAATATGTATTTTGTTTGATCTTTTTATTCATTTATTTTTTCGTTTATTTATTTAATTGGTTGTAATTTATTTTTTTTATTTTCGTCATATTTATCACTCGATTATATGTGTTATTTTTTGTTTTATTTTTTATATTCATTATTTTTTATTGGATTTATTGTATTCATTATGTTTATTATAGTTATTCTTTTTAAATTCATTCTATTTATTATATTTACTATGTTTGTTATATTTATCAACTTTGTTATATATATTATGTGTGCTATATTTATTATAGTTTCTATATTCGTTATATGTTCTATATTTGGTTTATTTGTTATATTTTTTTTATTTTTGTTATTTTCATTTGTTTATATCTATTATTTGTTGATATTTTTCCATTTATTATATTTATGGTATTTGTTTTTTATATTTATTATTTTGTTTATTTATGATTTATGTTTATATATATATATGTGTGTTTGTTTTTCATTGATTTGCTAATTATTCATTCATTTTTTTTTCTTATTTATATATTTGTTGATACTTTTATATTTGTAATTTCATTTATTTTTTATCTGTGTACTTGTTTGTTTAAATTTACAGTATGTGATTGTGTTTTGTTTTTGAATTTACACGTATACAAAAAAAAAATATGCGCACACACACACATGCACATGTCTATGTGTATATATATGTATATGTGTGTGTGTATGTATATATATTTTTTTATGTGTGTAATTACAGATACGATACATGTGTTGATTTTTTCAAACGGTTTGGAACACTAGCACATCTAGAAGGATGTAGCCCCTGCTAGCCAAGGCACTGAGTATGAGGAAGACAAACCAATTGGACCAAGTACAGAAGGTCTTGCAACACCGCGCGGCTCTCAAGACAAACGCAAGAATGTAGAGATCCTTTTCACTGTCGTGTTCATCGCAAGATTTTCACTAAACCTTGGTGGTTCCGTGCAAGACAATCATGAAAACAACAACCCCGAAACGAAGTACAGTATGACGTTGCAAAGAAATGGTGCGATCAAAAAATGGTGCGATCACAGGACAACGTGGGACTCATGTGCGGGAAAACAGTGTCAATGCAGCAGAATTGATGCATGTTTCAAGCAGTTTTACAGTTTAAAGAGACAGTTTGTTTAGGAATCCAATAGCAAAATAACTTGCATAGCACTGGAGTTTCTAGAACTGTTGTTTATGTTTGTTTGTTTTGCCATGGTCATGAAGGAAATTTGTTTTGAAACAAGCGACTGTTTGAAACAACAACGGAAAACAACGACCATCACAAGGCTACTCTTGCCAGATTTCAAGAGACCCATCTAAATATATATATATATGTGTTTTTTGCAGTGGGGGAGGGCACAACCTGTACCAACATCCTAGCGAACAGGCTCTATGACTCTGAAGGTTTGAGTCAAGGTGATGATGTTAGAGGATTTTCCATTATTCAAGATTTAAAAAAAAAAAACGGAAACAGTGGGGTCAGTCAGTGTCTGAGATTTTGGAGAGAGGCAGGGGTCTGATTTAAGTTATGTTGTGCATTTTGTAGAAGCACCCCCCCTTTTTTGAATTGTATCTACAAAATCCATCAGAATCCAACCATCAAACTCCAGTCCACAAATTGCAGGATGGATGGAGTTGCTGGGAGAGTTGAGTTGTTGCAGAATCAGGTCGGCTGGAGGAGGAAGAGAAAATGTTGAAATCACGCAGCTCTTCAGACAGGCGCAATTCACAAGGAATTGAATGCTGTCGAAAGAGAAACACACAATTGATATTACATATTTTGTTCATCCTGATTGTCGTCCTCGCTATTTTGTTCATTTTGTTCCTATTTATATATACATGTTTGTCAATTGTTTGTCCTCTTATTGTTTTCCGCTATATTTCGGTTTTTGAAGTGTGAGGGCAGAGCAGCACACTTGATATCAAGTGGCTTGACTTTCCAGGCGTGTGACGAGAACAATCTGTTGTCCTTTGAATCGCTCAAAGAGATTTCCGAGATTGATGAGATGCTTTCATCTGAGGACAGAAGAACCGGAAAGATATTTTTTGTGGCTAGTGGTGCTGCATCTCCTGGTAGTTGTTCATAATGTTTTGGTGCACAAGAGTCATGCGTTGGGTGTTGGAACCTTCAAGTCGTCGTCAGGATCTTGCGGAAGAAGAGCTGCTGGACATGTGGGACAATTTGCCAAAGAAGAAGGCAAGATTCAAATGATTCAGCAAAGAGAAATGATAGAAATATATAGAAATGCAAGATGGAGCAAGTCAGAAATCGATGCAAAATGATGCAAAGGGAAGCATGGGACTGTTCAGTGACTATTCACTGCTGACCTGACACATACCATGGGTCATTAAATGTCCCCATTGAACATCACCCAACCATTAGGTATATGGTCTATAATGGCTACTATAAGGTGATGTCCAATATACCCCAAATGGGACAGTTACCAACCCCTGCATACCTGACAAGCTCGAAAGATGTGTCCAATTTTTTCCATCATCTTTTGGTGGCGGGAAGTCCTACAAGACTCCAGAATACTGTTTGCTGCAGAATGGTGCAGATCGGTTAGAAGTTAGAAGCTAGAAGTTAGAGGTATGTATAAGTCACAACCCTTCACAACCCTACTGTGCCTAAAAGAGTCCTCTCTGGAGTCTGTGTAGTACCCTCAAAATTACACATTCGCTCCAAATCTTTCAACATATATCTGTGAAGACTAGACTCATGCCATGTTTGAACTTTCCACAAGACTGGTCACAGAGACCTTTCAAGAACTTAGTGCTGAATTTCAAACTGCACACATCTATCGCAATGATGTGAAACATGAAGAAAGCCCACATCATTTGATTGATACAGCACTCGCAAGGTTCTGCTGCAATTCTACTATGGCACTAGAAAGTATTTGCATCTGAAATTTACATAACATATCAGAAGTTTGCATTGTGGTTCTACCCGTTTTTGTTGGATCCTATTTGTTTGGTCATGGTTGATTCGTTTCGGGGTACAAGAAGTCGCGCAGAGAATGCAAGAGAAACCCTCCCAAGATACTCAACACCGGCACCGAATTGGATTGCTTTGTGCGAAGTTGAAACATGTTCTTCAACTCTTCAACTCTTCACAGAAGTGGCAGAGGTAGCTGCCTCAACTTTCCAGTGGCAGAACGAGTGGAAAGGTGAAAGCCAGAACTGAACTAAGACTACTAAGAGTGCTGGTGCATGTCCTGCCATCGATTCGATTTTTTGTGGATGCCGAAAACGGGAAGAATCATCACAACGTAATGAGCTTGGACGCTGTAGGTTGTCAAAGTTGTTGTGCTTTCAAAATGAATTGAATTCATTGCTTATCAAAGTCTCGTTTGACTGGTGCATGCTACGTACGAAAAAATTGATGCAATCACATGTGCCACTGTCAAAAGTTGGATAGTATATACATATTGGGGCATTCTTAATATAAGTACTGTAATATTCCGTGATCTTTTTGACAAACCCATTTGACATTTGCCCAACCAGCCTGAGCCATGCATTGCGTCATTTTAATATTCGTATGTCCAGTAGTTCAAGGCACAACCAGCTTTTCGTCTGGTACTTGCACTTGTTGCACAGGTAGTTTTCAGACATACAAACAGCACACTGTATTTTCCTCATGCTCTCTCAAAATTGAGTGTTCAATTTTCATACAATGGAAGTCTTGGGGAATATCTATGAATGTTTTACAATGTTCATCCTTGTTGTCATTGTGGTAGATGTTTGTGCCTTCGCTTTATTCTGTAGGAACACCTTGTAGATTTGATTGTGCGCAGGGCGATTTCATTGATGTTCTGGCGTTCAGAGATTTGCTGGCCAAGGCTTGTTGTGATGCAAGGGCGGATTCGGTTGAGTGTGTGGTGCCTTCATAATGACCAGACAATGGCAGCCTGAGAAAATATGCAAAGACATGATCACCAACCCACATTGCACTCCTGTTTTCTTTCGGGGATACTCTTGTATACTGTACTCTATTCATCTCTCTTCAAAGTTGGTGTCAAAGTGCTGAAGATCTGGCGTCTTATCAGCCTTTGTTTTCATGAATCTGATTTGCAGAATTTTGCAGATCGATGAACTCTTCGAGTATGTGGAAGAAGATGTAGAGGAAGACCCTGCAAACGAGGCCGAGTTCAACCCAGGAAAAGACTTCAATCAGTTTCCATGCATGGACCACATGTCGCAGTGTGTTGCAATCACACTTGGACAGCCGCTCTGTATGTGGAATTTTGAGATTTGTGAGGCACTCATGCAGTTTGAAGGAGGGGGCTTGGCAAAAGCAAAAAAGCGAAACCTCCAGACAGTGGGGAGCTAAGTGAGGGTGGCAATGGGTGACATGTAAAGTTGCATTTGATTTATGAGTCCAACAGCACAGAGAATATAGGGTTTTACAAAAAACAGAGCAAACAAAAAAAAGAAACCAAAATCAAGGAAAAAAACAAAATAAACATAAATACACAAGAAAATAACAATAAGATAAAAACAAAACAACAACAAAAAACGCAGGAAATCCAGGTCTTTTTTGTGTGTGTTTTATATTGTTCTTTTTTTCTGGTGATTATTCCTGTCGTTTTTTTTCGTGTTTCTGTGTTTGATTGTGGCTGTGTTTTTTTTTCTAAAATCAACTTAGTCTGTTCTAGCCGGGGTCATAACATTTGATTCTTGCAATTTTCGCAATCCGTTGCGGATGAGGTGAAGCAAGAGCTTCTTGATGCCATCAACCGTTTAGAGGCCCAGGATGTTGTGAAAGATATGAACGTGTTTTTCTAATTTTTCGTGTGAAAATGTATGAAGCAGATGGATAACTGACATGCTTTGAGCGCACAGACAAGCCATATTTCGGACCATTGCGATTTTCACACGGCAAGGCGTCACAGGACAAGCCTTGTGGTCTTGGATCAACAGAAGAACTTGACGGGGAGCGAGAAATGCTGGGAGATGCAGAAACAAAATGAAAAAGTGAAACAAACTAAACAAGCTATAGGAAGCTCATTAAACGACTTGGTCACAGATTCAATCTGCGGAGAGAGAGAGAGAGAGAGACAGAGACAGAGACAGAGACAGAGAGAAGGCCCTCACCGTTTCCAGGAGGTGATCAAGCTTGCAGGTGAGCTGGAAGATGTTTGGAGAGACCAGGCCAGTGTACTCAGTGTACTCAGTGTACCAGTACTGTACTACCGTAGATGGACGATGAAATCAAACCCTTGCTGTATTGTTGTCAACCCCCGCACCCGCAAATTTCAATGTTGTCTTTGGGCTGCGCTTGGCACCGGTGGGCAAAAAAAATCAAACCCTGAACACAGAGGCAGTTAGATAGAGTTTTTTTCAACATTGAAATTTGGGGTGTGGGGTTTTACTTGGTAGATGTCTGTAGGGTTTGATTTTTTTGTCCATATCATCTACTGTAGTACACTGTACAGTGCACTAGTACTGTACAGTACACTTCCCAGTCCCAGATGTCCCCTCTTGATTCATCTTGATTCATCTTGATTATTAAAGTTGAAGCATGTCACAGCTCTGCCAGGGTAGACGTTTCTTCATCAGTCTCGCCTTTTCTCATCCTTTTTCATCCTTTTCCGACCATGGATTCACAAGTGCTATGGCTTTGGTAGGTGGATGACTTGACTATGTCATGAGTCATGAGCGATCAACATACAGCATGCACAGATAGGACTTTATGATGCCTTGGGGGTAGTAGGCTAGGCAGTAGGCCGACCAAAGGCAGCATTTGGGATGATGCACGAAGTAATATGTCCGTAGTATTTGGCTAGCTTTTAGCTAGTAGCTATATAGGTGGATTGAAGGCAGCATGTAGGGTAGCCCATGGTAGTACAAATGATGGCTATATACAGAGAGAGAGAGAGAGAAATCTGTGTGTGCGTGTGTCGTGTGTACGTAATACAGCATAGCATCTAGGCAAGAAGTAGGTAATATCAATATCTATATAATATCTAAGAAAGTATTCTGCGAGTACATAAGTAGCATCGGGGATAGGAAGGTAGCTGGCCTGATGCATAGCAGCATTTGATGGTAATGGTTTGTTTGTATGCAGAAACACATAGCAGCGCATACTGTATCAAGCAGTATGTATGAAGCAGTATGTAGCAGTATGCAGGTGATAGGTATTCGCAGAACAGCAAGCACGCTAGCAGAGAGCTCAAGAAGTTGTACTACTAGTAGAAGTAGTATAGCTGCGTGAAAACTGCGATTTGTAAGACCGCTCCATGTGGGGTTGGGGTGCCAGAAGACTGGCCCAAGAATACTTATCAATACCGGGGTGCCTTGCAAGACTGTAAGTGCCGTCCCTCAGAGATAGAATCTATCGTACTTGATTCTGTCCTCGCAGTATTTCGGATGAAGATGGATGAAGTATATAATTTATTATAATTGCTGTACATTGACATCATTGACCTTAAAGTCCAGGTGGATTCGGGACTTAAGATTGAATAATTTACTCAGGCCGACTGTGACATACTGGGACTGTGCTTTGGGTAGTTTGGCCGGCCTTTTTTGTGCGTGCATTTGCTAGGGCTGCTAGGGGACCCCAGAAGGTATTTTTGACAAATTTGAGGACGAATGTTGAATCGCGTTGGATGTGAAAGTCCTAAAGTACTTGACCGTCAACACTTTTTGCCAAAATACTCCAAGTATCTCTAAGTGCACGATACGATATGTACATGATTCAACACTGCCCCAAAGCTTTTTCCGGGCAATTTTGGGTCTTACAGAAAGTATTTGAAGTTAGGATTTGCCCCAAAATGCTTTAACATCGTAAAGCCACGATTGAACCCATTCACAATCCATCCGCGGCTTGCAATATCCTTTCTTCTCTTTCTCCTGGTACTTCAAAGCAGCCTGTCAGTCAGTGGGTCCTCGCGTTCAATTTTCCGGGTGTTTGCCAGCTGATTGCTCAGGGATCCCCTTTGTTCTGAGATACAAGATCACTCTTTTTGGAGAATAGACCAGAAGTTCCTTTACATAAGACACGTACATTGCACATAAACATGTGCACGCATGTTTGACTGCAACCCTTGTTTAGGAGTGTTTTTTCTTTTTTGTCTCATCCTGAATGCTGTTTTGCAGCTGGTTTCAGGCATGTTTTCTCTTTTGGTGGTGCCTTTGATGTAGAGAAGGGTTTGAGGCTTGACTCTTTTGTAGTTATATTGGACTTTTTTTCCATATGTGCTCCATGTTTATTTGTTGTTTGCTGTTCAGGTTGGTGACTTGAACGACTTTGACGGGGCGAAGCTAGCAGGGCTGTGGGAGCTGATCTATTCCACCTCCGTCAAGCCTCTTGGCGTGCAGCACATGGTGCAACACATGTGATCAAATCGACTGGAAGTTGCGTGCCCTGCCTGCTCTGAATTCTCAGATCACCACAAACTAGAATAATTAGAAAGAAATGAGATAAATAAAACGTATTCGTGACGAGAAGCATGATGAAGTAGGACAAAGTATGACGAAGTAGAAGACGTTAGCCATGGCCAAAGTTGGCCACGGCATCCGGGGCCTGGCAGTTTATGCCTGTAAATCCGACATGCGGTGTTGTGGAAATTATTGAAATGCATCAATTTCATTTCAACAGATTAACATATATATATAATTATATATGTATATATATATGTAATTATATATATAATTATATCTATATATAATTATATTATGTATATATATAATTATACTATATATATAATTATATACTATATATATAATTATATTATATATACACAATTATATTGTACATATAATTGTATTATATATATATGATTATATTATATATGTAATTATACTATATATACAATTATATTATGTATATAATTATGTTATATATACAATTATGTTATATATATATAATTATGTTATTTATATAATTAACATGTCGGTTTCAACAGCTTGTGCTGTTGTGGTGACGTACTGAAGGGCAAGCTGAAGTATCTCCACTGGATGACTTTCCTCAATGGAGAATGATAAGGAGGGAATCAGGTGAGCAGGTCAGGTACGGAACAGAACAAAGGGATACAAATGCTATTATCACTCTCTGATTTGTCTGAAGTTCTTTTGGCCAGCCACAGAAGTAACTTCTCTAGTTATGGCGACGGCTTCCAATTAAATTGTTTACAAATACATACAAAAACATAATACATACAGACTCAAAAATAAGTGCTCAAAGAGCACTGGATTTGTGAGGTTCCGACGTTGGGGTTCTGTGTTGAATGCGGTTCGAGACATCAAGAATGCCAAGTTCGAGGCTTGTGACTGATGGCTGTGACTCACACTTCCCCTTTCACTTCAAAGACAGCCCTAACTTCGGATATTGTCCATTTTGCTGCCAGGAATGTGCTTGCTATATATTGCTATATCTTGCTTCAACATACTTCAGTGCCCTGCCAGGCACTGATTCAGAATTTTGGAATTAGAGCCTTGCCTGCAAAAGCCGTGAAGGCCAAACGAGGGAGAGATACAACAAGCATCAGCCAACATGATGGCTGAGCCAAGGGTTCCAATGGTTGCCATGACTAGCTCTGCTGAGCTTCATATCCAATACAGTAATTGTGGAAGCGTCCTAGGTGGTGATGATGGCTTCAACGAATACGACATGGAAGAAGTCTTCAAGGCCTGTCAAGTGAGAGAGACATGACCCGTAAGCACTAAAACAACTGGCTACATATACTTGACGAGTCAAGTTTACCGTGGAAGGATCGAATCTGCAGTTTGGCTCCGGCCACGAAACAAAACGGTACATTGATTGCATTACAGAGCACTGTCTCTCCAACCTGCAAGGCCAAGGCCAAGGAGAGTGAAGACAGCGAAGAAGAAGTGGAACTTTCCATGCGGGGCCAGGCATTTTAGTACTTTTAGTCGACGAGACATGCTAAGCACGAGATATTTCAAGGACATTTCAAGGTCACCCATGGTCACCCAATCTTCAGCCACCTGTCAGGGATCCTGGAAGCTTGGCATCCAGCAGAATGTTGTGACTGGCGACGAGGCTTCTCGAGTTGCTGGGAATGTTCACTTGGTCCGGACTTGTGACTTCAGTGTGGCCACTCCACCTGCCAGGATTTGGTTGTGAAGCTTGAGATCACTGGTGTAGAATACGAGCCGCTGCCGTGTTTTAATTCTTTTCTTATCTTTGTGCCTGACACCTGTGGAAAGCTGCTCAATTGTAAGAACTCTGCTGCCAGGATACCCTCGAAGACACCGTGGACAACTGTGGTGAGAAAACTCTGATGAGTCCTATGTGCAGGAGAGTGGCATAGAGTGGCGGGTGCTGACATAGTGCTGGCAGTATAGCAGCCCAGCAAAGGGTGGAGACTTGGAGAGACAGCACTGCAAAACTGCAAAAAGCATGTCACTACCGAATGATGATGTTTTGCAGCGACTCGTGTGTTTTATTATGTCTTATTTATATATCTTCAGCTTGGACAACATCATTGCAGGACATTTAGCTACGGCTTCATCAGTTACATGGACGACAAGATTCGTGTGCCAAGCGCAGACACAGAAAGAATCAGAAAGAACATGTGTTTTGTCTGTAGAAATGAGAAACAATTAGAAGGGAATAGAACGGATGTTTAATTTGCAGAGCAAGGGCATTGTTTTGATGAGATCGGCCATTTTGACCAGGTGATGAGGACCAGCTTGACCGGGCGTTCGGTTTACATTTTTCAGCGGATAGACGAAGAGAATGAGGCAGGGATTGTCATGATTGTCCAATGTTGTATCATTGTGCTTTCTGGGGGGCAGAAAAACTAGATGCTTCAGAGCACGTGCAGTCCAAAGTGTTGAAGGCTGCTTAAGCCGCTGGAAGCGAAGGACGTTCCGGTAGAGTGCACAGATTCCGGTAGCGTTGCCTCGTGTGCAATGGAAATGAAGCCTCCTTATCCTCCTCGTTTGCATGCTGTATGCATGTCGATCATTTATCCAATGTTGTACCGTACATACCCGATATCAAATGATATCAAGACAATTTGGTCAGCTGCTTGTGATTCATTTACTGTATTGGGTTCTAGGCTCAGAACTATCAGAACTCTGATTTTTGCTTGTTAGCACGTACAACTGACACATGACGATCTTGGTGATGTAAACTGTTTTGCTGCCATTTACATACGATATATATATATATTAATAATTAAGTATATATATATATACATATATATATATTCTAAATGTGTTTCAATATGATGCAATCACTTTCATCAGATATATACTGTAATGATCCCGAACAAGGACAAATGCCTGACTATCACACCTGGTACCTAAGTGGCTAATGCAATTAGATCGAAAACTGATATCCTTTGCCATTGACAGAAACGCACTGCACTGGTCTTCAAGTTGCGTTGCTTTTTCTTCTCGCAGGAGTGCTGATGGGGCCCTTGTGCTCTGCTCATTCTGAGTGGCGGATTTGAGGAAGGTCAAAATGAGGAAGTGTTGGTCAAGCTTTACAGTTGGAAAGGGAACAGAAAGCCTGGTCCGAAGTTTGATAGAGTCTGATAGTTTTTCATGGCAGTGAGTGAATTTGCCAGCTTTTTGACATTGCTTGTTCGCCCTCCAAGCTGTTGCGGTCTCGCAGCCGGTATTCTTTACTGTACACGTCAGACCCGTTGGTTCCAATTTTCGCAGAAAAGAGAGCCTGGCGTCAGCTGTTGCCAGTGTGTATTGACTTACTGTGGAGCTTCGTCACTAAGTTGTTGTGATTTGTTGAAAGATTGAAAGGAACCACAGAAACTGTTTGGAAATGAACCCGCCTGAACTAATCCTGAACTTGTTTGTTTATCTTGTTTTCGGAGTATGTGTGTTTGCTATTGTCTGCTTGTGCGCAGGCCCTGCGACCAGGCGGTCGTTTGTTAGTTCATGACTTCATGGCCAGCAACTCAGTGCGCTGTGTTCATATGATTTCTGCTTGGAGCCTCTCAAGGCAGGGTTTTCCATTGCTGTTCCTTTTTTCTCATGCACGTGGCAGATTCCTTGTATATTATTTGGAGTGCTTCGTTTCTTGTGTGCTACATCAATGCAATGCATATATGCAAACAGTTGTCCGAAAGTATTCCCGGTAAATCCCGGTAAGGTCAACGATAGCCTGGATGGCCCAGCTTTGGGAGCACTTTGGGGTCTCTTGCCAGCAGGAAGGTCCAAATCGGTCCAAGTTGGAATGTTTCCAGCATAGTTGCCTTGCCCTAGAGTTCCTTTGGTTTCCTCGATAGTCCATCGCGTTGGAATAATATCAGTCTCTCGCCGCAAGGTCAGTAACACTTCTATGGGTCTTGACAACTGTTACAACGGCCTTGACATGACGTCACTATCCAAGATACATCTTAGATATTCTTAGATACTATTAGTAATTACATGTAATTACAAAGATTTGACCCCATCTCCTCGGAATATCTCGGGATGTGGCGAGGGGATGCAGAGCTGGCCCTTCACACGTGGCTGGAGGCCTTCAGCACGTGACGGTCAACGCACATGGTCTTGGACTTTGCCCAGCAGAGGAGCTCTTCTCAGATTTTCCAAGGCTTTCTTCTTGTTTCAAGAGCTGGAGACTGGAACGGAACTCCTTCCAGGATTGGCTGCTTAAGCCTTTCGGAACCTTTCGGAAGGTTCTGCACAGACACTAACTCCCCCAACTTCGAGCTCGATTGATTTGATTGGAAGTAGGACCCCCTTTAGTGAAAACTGGTTGTCACGATCGCTGGAGAAACTGCACAGTCAATTAAAAGAGCCATTAACATGATTCGACTGCGCTAAACCACTGGCTGAAATCTGAACTTCACTTGGTTTTTGACGTGCTAAGATCATTCAGCGAATGGGTCAAGCTGGCTTCGAGCAGCAGAAGTGCGAGGCTCACGAGATGATTCAAGGTGCCGCAAGCGGACAACGTCAGACAACTGGCCACTGGAATGATTTGGACTGCGCGAATCCTGTTTGCAAAAACACAATGTGGCCACCTATTGCCAAACTATTGGATGTCAGTATCCAAGACGTTTGAGACTTTGTGTGGTTGGGGCTCTTTGCTCAAACTGCTACAAGCTGACCTGTCTCAGCTTCGCAAGCCAGGCATGACGAAACTTATTGTCGCACACAAGTCTGCGTGACTGTGATCTTGGTAAATGTCGCACCTCTGAAGTGCAATGCTAGCAGCTTCTACCAGCCTGACATGAGCTGGCAGAGTTGGTGCTCAAACGGGCACCCAATCCTGACAATTTTACGCCTTCTGGGCTTAGAGAGAAAAAAAACACGTCATGCAAAATTGTACCAGGGCAGCTCAGCACATAAAAAAAGCCTTGTTCTGATCACCAAAACAACCGATGCACCGGCAGCTTGGCTCAGAGCACCTGTGTCAATGACTAAAGTTCTTACCACAGAATGCATGAATAGCTGACCTATTTTGAGGCAAGTTTGAAGAGAAATAAACTCTACGGATTTGTTTTTGTGTTGCCAGATTGGTGCTGAGAAAAAAAAAACGCTGTGAGACTGCCTAAAGGCAGACCATGTCAGAGGCGTGCGGCATGCCGCACATGTGGCGGCCAATATCCGAAAAGATCTGGGATATCTATGGATATCTGGGATAATGATGATTGGGGAATATTGGCGACATACTGCCTACAAACCATGAAATCCATGAAGTTGGGCATCATGGATTGGAGCTATGACATGCTATGACTACTCACTACTCATGACGGATGACTCTGGATGATTTGATTCCCAATGGATTCAATTCTAGATTGGATGGTCTTGGCATATTAATCAATCGTTGGGTTGGTATATATAGTAGATAATGACTTATAATGTACAGTTGGTGTATAATGTATTTATATGGTTGACATTGTTTGACATATCTCGAGGGCAAACTTAGATCCCACCACCTGGCATATACGGTACTGGTATTCAAATATCTTCACGATCTCAAGGAGTTTGAAACCGCTGCGAATAGACACCTCCCAAATAAAAGGTGCTCGCAATGCCTGTTTTTTCTGATATTAGAGCAAGGTCATGAATTCATTGCGGAGTTTTGATAGTCTTGTATGCTCCAGACAAGAATCGCAAAGTCTTCCTTCACGTTTTTGCATTGCATTCAATGTCCATGCCAGATACATTTCTTTGGTTCCAGGATAATGGGCTTCAATTGGAGCGGGCAAAGGCTTGGATCGGAACATATTTGAACTTAAGAAATCTGAAGACTGGACTGCACCACATTGGTAAACACTGCTCTCTCAATACTTGCAGATGGTATCATATCGTCATAATCTAATATCGTTCTCGCAATCAATGCACTGGAAGAGGCGCGGATAGAAGAGCTTGAGCAGCAGATTAAGAACCTTCGGGCTGTCGGAGACACAGCTAGGTTATGTTGTCTACCGTACATCTTTCGTGTTTGAGAAATATTGATATGGTCAAGTGCAGGAGGCTAAGCCGATTGAGGTTACTTGATGTGATAATTGGAAAATAGTATAAAGTATTATAAAGAGACCAATTTTGCAAGTGTGAATCTCCGGTTGGACCAAGGCTGTACCAAGCAGCCAGACAACAGCTGCCCCCTTGACTAGAGTCGTTGGTGGGCATGTCGTGAATGAGATGATGTACGAGGATATGTTCATGTTATGATTACATATGTTTACTATGTTTCTTGTATTTTGACATATGTTAATTACATATGTTGCCGCCATATTTTCATTATATGTTCTAATTATTTTGTGGAGCCGGGATCTGACAAGTCTGGATTGGTATGGATCCGTATAGTATTGTGTTGATGAGCTTGTGGTCCTTGTGGTAGGTCTTGTGCGCAGATGTGCCCTCTCGCAGGAGGTCATCCTATTGGCAGTGCTAGTGTTTATGCTGATGCTGTGGATGATTCCAGTCTTGAGGCTGGTGGATCTCGTGGTTTGAGTTGCAGATGTTGCAGGGCGTCCCTGTCAAATCTCATATTGACTTCACTGATTCTGATGCCCATGGCAGGCCTTTCAGGTATTGCTGTGAGACTAGACTTCACAAGGCTGGTCTAGACTTCGAACATGGGATGCCTGCAACGTACAAAACCCTTGTAGCTTTGAACTCCACAAGCAACCACAATGCTATGTATATCTATGTATGTATATGTTTTTTTTTGTACATTTGAGATCATTTGAGCTGCTTGATGAAGTGGCTCGCAAAAGGCCCTAGATTTTGATCGTGCGACAAGTCCAAACAAAAATGAGTACAAGTCGGCATCGTTCGAAATCTAGAATGTATTGCGACAGACTCTGAGCTATCACAATGGCTTTCTAACAGAGTCCCCGCCCTATTATTCTCGGGATTTCTCCCCCACATATCTTCTTAGTCCTCCAAATCAATAACCAACTTGAACCGAGATTCTGATAGCTTGGGCAGCTTTGGAGGGGTTTTGCAAGTGTGATGAAATTCGACAATTGCTTCCGCACATCCAAAGTATGTCCTGGCACTGGGCTTCACACAACTTCGAATCTGTACAGGTTCCGCCCTGCACTCGAGCTGCAATAAAGCCACAACGAAGCTACCATTGAATGTCATCGGGCAGGGTTTGCTCCCTGGAACTCATCACACTCATCAATCTAGACCATCGCCTTTGAAGTGAATTGTGAGGGAGAGAGGGGCATACCCTGTGTCGGCGAGCTTAAATCGGAATAAAGCAACACAGGTGAGAGGCTATTCAAGGATATTCAAAGTACTTTCAACCACAGCATACCACAGCTACAACACTGTGGGAGCAAGGCCTCAGTCAGCAGCACGCGCAAAGAGAATGAATACCTCGAACCAGAGTCGCGATTACCGCGAGCTCTGTTCAGCTCATTGATGCATAGTTTTTCTCCGCAGCACAGGCACTCTTCAAAAAGTCGCAACTAATGTAACTGCCCGAACTATCATCAAAGGAAGAGCAATGAAAAGATATCACAAGATCGTGTCTTGGAATAGTTTAGAATATTTCTCTTGGTAGAAGTTCTTGACCAGTCAATTGTGTACGCAGCTTTGTCACTGTCCACCTTTTGTCCTGGTTGTCCTGGCCATTGCAAAATTGACCGTTGTCGAATTTCTCTCCAGCGCATCAGTGCTGAAGGTTGCACTGCGGTTACACTTTACATGTGTATTCAATGGGTTTTGCCATGTGTTCTGTTCCCCATTCTGGACAGTCAAGCACTGCACCGCCTTCTACTTTTGCACTGTAGGTTTATCCAGCGATCACCATCTTCAACTTAATTTGCCTAGCGGTGACTCTCAACCAGTTTCTTGGCACGGTTTGGGCACTCTGCATACACACTCTTTGTCCCGTACTTTTTGAGGCCGTTCACACGTTCACATGACTCTTGCAATTTCTTCTAGATTGCTTTCCGTTCAGGCTATTTTTGATCAGCTTCAACGACTTTTTCTTTGGGATGGTAAATGCCTTCGAACTGATCTTGCAGAAGACCGAGCAAGTTTTGGCCTTAATGCATAGGATCAATACAATGGGAAGCATGCAGCAAACAGAGGAATCTATCTGGAGCACATGGATTTTAAGAGACGGTTTCCAGGTGTTTTGCTAGCTGATTCTGTGCAAGAGGCCCTGATTGGAGTGGCTGCACTTTTTGCCATTGGGGTTGTGTGGAAGTCTTTGGCTTAGCAAACATGTTATGAGAGTCCATCCACACAGACATACCAAACCGTATGTGAGGTTCAAACAAGATGTTCTCGACTTGAGATTTGAGGTTCAAAGATCGGGTTTTCGAGGCATGCAATTGGCAGTTCAGCGTACGGCTCTTTTCCAAGGGAGGTCAATAGAATAGAATAGAATAGAATAGAATAATATAATAGAATATAATGGAATATAATGGAATATAACGGAATATAAGATAATACTATATAATGTATTGTGATGTGCAATTGAATCCAGATTGATTGCGTGAGATTCTGTGAACACACGGCATGTATCACAGGTTCTTGGTGTTGAGAATGCTGCAGCGGTGTTTGGTGACTTCCGTGATTGGGCAACATGCTGGCACGAAGCTTAACGAAGCTTGATTGTGGTTGTCAGCAAAGGACTGATTTGATCATTTTGTGTCCAAAGTGAACTGCGCAGGATTCTCAAATGCTTCACAGTTTGGTGGGTTTCAAGGTCCATGAAGCGCTTCCATCCCCTGGAAGTCTTTATTTGGAAGGCTGAATCTGCTGATGTTCGAGTTGTCTAAGGTTTTGGTTGATTGCTTCCCAAGACTTCCCGCAACACCTCATGTTTTTCAGGTTGAAGGTCTGCCATCAGCTCGACTGCATTCACCCAATGATGTCTTTTGCGAGGCTTCGTGGAAAAGGGGTTGACTTCCATTCTCCTGACATCTCACGATGTAGCATTCTTTGATATTGTTTGCTTAGTTGATCTTCATTGGCAGCGGCAAATTATCAAGTGCAAACACACTACCACTTGCAGTGCGTCACGGCGTGTACAGATTGAAGAATCAGAACAAACTGCGGCAATCCAGGTGTCGTTTGGCTACAATGTAGTGATGAAAACACGAGTCTGAGCCTGAAGTTGCCGGTTCGCAGATTAGCAGCCAGGAGTGATAGAAGTGACTGGTTCCTGCAAGGTTCATCACCGTGCTGGACATTCTTGCGTGTTCAAAGAGCAGCACTCAGAATGTTTTTGAGCAGTGAGCAACACCAGAGAGAATCATTTTTTTGAGACAAGTCCGTTCCTGATTCTTTTGAGTGGAGTTGCGGAGTATTGCGTTTCTTTTTTTGTACTATCTATAGCTCTTGTGGCTAGAGATTGCTATATATATAATTAATTTATAATCATATATATAAATACATATGTCAACGTGTGCAGTGGTGCATCTGAGGAGACCTTGCAGCTCAATTTCGATCCTTTTGATTCGGAGCGTCGTCTTACATTGTCCATCATGAGCCAGGCTACAGCACACATACACAGACACTTGTGGTCGAGAACTTGACACTTTTGCAGCGTCCTAGATCCAGTGATATTCACTGCCATGTTGCAGCATAAGCGTTGAAGTGATTTGAAGTGCATGTGTTGTTCCTGCCAATTAATGCTAGTCATGCGTGTGATGCCTGTTGAAGCCCCGTTGAAACCATGTTCAATCATTTGAACATCTTTGAACACTGGAAATGGTCTTCCCTCCAGGAAGTTGTTGGATCTAGCGAATTGGCAAAGCTGCAGCTTGGCACAGAGCAGGTCGGCGAGTTTGGCTTTGTCGTGCCCGTTGTGCGTTGTTGTCATGTGTGTATATACTTATACTTGTTATAACTATAATTATATGAATTGAAATATGTGCATAGATTGTAGATGTGAATGTATATATATACATGTATGCATTATATATATACATATATATATATATCATTATGTATATATATATATATGTATGTATGTATGTATGTATGTATGTATGTATGTATGTATGTATGTATGTATGTATGTATGTATGTATGTATGTATATATGTATGTATGTATGTATGTATGTATGTATGTATGTATGCATATATATATATATACATACGTAATTATGCATATATATATAGTTTTATATTAGCTATATATATATAGATAAGAATGAATATAGAGAGAGAGAGAGCTCTATATAGTTTAAACTGCCGCAACGGATCCAAGAATGAATATTTGCGTTTTATGAACACACACACAAGTGTGTGTATATATATATGGGACCCCCCTTGAGATCTACCTGGAAGACTTTTTACAGATACACGTACACAGATACATATACATTTACATTTACATATACATAAATGACATTAGATTTTAAGATAGCATGTGGGACCTCAGACTTGGGATCTCAAGTCTGAACAGCTGTCAGACTTCGGATCCCAGGGCGCACGAATCCAAGATCCAAGATTTTGAAAAACTTGTGTTGGAAAACCTTGGATCCAACAATCCCATTTGGATCCTAGATTTCTGCCCTGGATCCAAGAAAAGTTTTTTGATAATCTTGGATCTTGGATCTTGGGTCCGGATCCAAGGAAAGTTTTTTGATCATCTTGGATGCATTGCAACAAAACATCGATAAAGCCACAAAAGACAAAAACATTTTTTTTTAGATAATGTTTTTGTCTGAAGTTCATGCTTTGTTTTTTGGTTTTACTCCTGTTTCTGCGACTTGAGAACCTCAAGTCTGAAAAGGGTTCAGACTTGAAAATCTCAAGTCTGACATTGTAAGGATCCAACATCCAAGATCCAAGATGTTCAAAACACCTTCTTGGATCCAGGGCAGAAATCTTGGATCCGGATCCAAGATCCAAGATGCAAGATTGTCAAAAAGTTTTTTGGGGATCCAGGGCAGAAAGTAGCAGCAGTAGGTTCAGCAAGATACTGCATAATTCTAAATTTGGTTGTGCACCATCCAGTAGGTGTCTATGTTTTGCTGATGTTCTCATGGTTTTAAGCACCCTCTCAGAAAGTTACTTAAAACCATAAGAAAAATACAAGACAGACAGCCAAGCCTTGAAAATATAACAAGTAAACAGGTTTCAGCATAGACTTTGAAGTCTGGTGTCAAAACAAAATTCTCCAATAGTATAGGCCGTGTGCAGCAGTATGTTTCAAAAATATGACATTCCTAGCATAAAGGTGCATTATTCCTTGCATAAAGTGACATCATATTGTAGAGTCTCGCTATATAAAGGGGTGCAACATTTATGTGAAAGGAATACAGTGTTATTTTCAAAGAGACTTACAGCTGTGCAAAACTATAAAGGAGTGCAGCATTTCTTTCAAAGGAATATAGAGTTATTTCAAAGGACTTACAGCTGTGCTAAGTTCTGTTCAAGAGGTAAAGGAGTTTATGGAAGAAGGACAGAATTACGACAAAACGGAATCCTTTAATTAACCATTTTTACCGACTATGGTATTCCTTAAAGCAGGGTTGGTGCAAGTATGTGCAAGGCCTACTTCACAAGGGAGTGAACCATGTGATTCAAAACCATGCATTAATACAAAAAACATATTACTTTGAAGTAGAACCCTTGGGTGTATGTACATGGTTGTTTGCATGCAATACGCCCTTTCATATGTTTGAAACGCCTGAACTAGACAACATAATTTTGAAGAAACTAAGTCTTTCCTTTGAAGACAACTGTCATTCAGAGTGAGGCTGAACTTCATAAAGGATGTATTGCATTTTTCCACATAGTGTATTCTTTTTCTGCAAGAATGTTGCTTGTTATTTGAGGAAAAACAGTGTCTTCAGGGCAATTATTTTGAAGACATTATATAAGTCGTTCATTAAAGATGGTCATAAAAGGAAAATGATAAGAAGTCTGAGCTCCATAAAAGGATGTCCTTAATTTTTACACATATATACTTTTTTGCAAGAATAGTGCTTCTCGTTCAAGGGACTATCTTGTCTTCAAGGCAGATTGTAACCTGTAAGCAGCATTTTCCTTTAACAAGAATCTTTCTTTTCAAGGAATGCTGTAATGAGCATCAACCATTGCACATTTTCGCAGCAATACTCAATGTTAATCACACACTGCATATTGAGTAGGAATCTGGTGTTTTGAAAGAAACACTGTATGATTGAACGAAGGCTGAAGAATTTCCTGAAGGGAAACTGCACTGCTTCAGAAAAGAACACTGCATGTTTAGAGGAATGCTCTATATGTTGTAGGGATACTGCTTATGAAGGGTATACAAAATTTGCATGATCAACCCCCCTGCATAGTTAGTTGAAGTATGCAGCGAGTTTCATCATGCATGGCATCAAAGGTAGATCTTGGGGGGGCTAGCATTTACAGTACGTGTATATATATATATATGATGCATATATACGCACATTTTGTCTCATGCATCCGCATCCATCCATAGTAGGTTTATCGCGTGACAGGTCCGTAGGCTAGAAGGACCAGCAGAGGACTTGAGCAGGCCAAGCACTCAGCGCTACTCTGCTGTAGATCGTTTCTGGGCCTTTTGAGATCAAAGGTCTGTTGGATGGGGCAGCAAAGCTGACCCAGCAGAGCAAGCCTCAGCCGCAGATCAGAGTAGATTTGCCCATGGCACTGATCCAGTAGAGCTCAGATGGTCTCAGTATATGTGTTCTTCGGTTCGCATGGTTGCTGTTTCCTCTTGCTCGCCATCTGAAGAGACGTTGCGATGCGTCGAAATGCACAGGTTTGGTCCCCTTCCAACTTCCAATGCTGGGATTTGGTTAGTCACCCAGTGCAGCAGCATATCCTTAATTTGAATGCTGACAGCTTGATGATGCTGATTGATGCTGTATAACAAGAGTCAGTCAATGATGGAAAAATCATGAAAAATCTCACTGAATCAAACAACTTCTCAAACTGTGAGTCCATTTCTAGGTCCCTGCAGGGAAGGTCTACCTTCGATTCATTCCTGTGCCAGAGGCACCCGCTCACAGGGCTGTACTCAATTATATCAATATAATATAATATAATATAATATAATAAAATATAATATAATATAATATATATAATATATATAATATATATATAATATATATATGATATATAATATATATATATAATATATATAATATACGTATAATATAATATATATATAATATATAATATATAATATATATAATATATGTATATAATATAATATATATATAATATATAATATATATATATAATATATAATATATATTATATATATATTATATATATATTATATTATATATTATATATATATTATATATTATATATATATTATATTATATACATATATTATATATATTATATATTATATATTATATATATATATTATATTATACGTATATTATATATATTATATATATATTATATATCATATATATATTATATATATATAATATATAATATATAATATATATATATATTATAATATATATATAATATATAATATATATATATATAATATATATATAATATATATAATATATATAATATATATAATATATAATATATATAATATATATAATATATATATAATATATATATATACATCACGATGTCCACGCAGAAATCAAGGCTTGGCCCAGGCTTGGCAAGTTTTATATAGACACTTCGTCGCCACTGCGTGGCAGGAGTCCAAGAGCTGGTGGGACACATTGACGAGGTCATCTTGTGGCTCTCCTTTCGGATTGCAGACTTGAGCACACATAATACGAAGGATTCCAGTGGCAGACACTCCACTGAACAAACCTCTAAGACACGCAGATCGAAAACAAGTGTCTTGAGATCTGCTTTAGTGCCGGACACGTTAGCACTCTCTGTTTCATGTTTTCAGCCAATGTGCCTATATACCACTGCAGTCATTTTCCAAGCCGTGTTGCGGCTTCAGGACAACTTAAGTGCCAGCAACACAAAGTGCTGATTAGGGTACTCTCCTGTAGTTTAAGATCAAAATCCAGTACAGCTACTTGGATCTCGGCTTCCTCTCCTCTGCAAAGACAGAGCCAGTATGAGCCAGTACTATATACTATGTGTGCAGCAACCTGGGCAAAGCCTCAGTCATATGAGAGCCTTGAAAGATCTTAAAAGTGCAGTTTGGTCGATTTCCTCTTGCAACTTTTGGGTGCGCCGTCAGCTCACATGCGGTGCTTCCGGTTTCTTGACTTGTTTGCCACCATTCATACGCAAATCAATCAATTTTGCTGGCAATAGGAGTCACCAGGGTCAGCTTGCGAGAGAATCGTTGCTACATCGTTGCTAAATTTGCATCACCTGTTGGTTGTGCCATCAGTTCTATAGAGAACGGAGTTCGAATGGTTGGACGGTGAACCGCAAGTGCGTGCAACTTGGCACATCATGTTAAAACCTGAAAGTAGGGAAAACCGCGCCCCACTGCTTGAGTTGTTTTTATCCGGGAATTCGGATTTTGAAGTCAACTGCTCCGAAGTCAGTTCCATATATGGCTCTTCAAATTGGTGTAAAGCTGTGCTGCTGTACTCCACCTAGGAGATGAGAAGTGGTTCTCACTCAGAAGATACCGTGTGCGGAATTTTCATGGTTCTCTTAGGCAGCATATTGATGAGATTTGATGAGGCTGTCCAAAACCAGCAGAAAGTTGCATGTGGACTGCAACCTCTTTTGGCTTTCTGAGGCTTTTTGGGCTTCCCTGTAGCAAGTCATATTGCTTCCATCCTTTTGTATCTCTCATGGAGGAAGGGAGCAGCCAAGACAGCGACGAAACGGACGAGACCGACCCAGATGTCCCCGTCGAGACGGAGCCGAAGTGGGGCAGCGACTTCGCATTGGGTCGAGTCCCACGATCGATGCGATACAGCTGGGTGTCCATGGCAATGGAGCAGGTAGCGCAAGGTGGATGCATTGCTGTGGTAGTGATTGGAGCTCAGCTTGGGCACAAAATGACAGAAAGAAACGCCATCCTGGCTGTGATCATTGGCAACCTTATTCTGGCTGTTGCCTCGCATTTGCCTTTGATTTGGTTTGTAGTAGCTGTAGTACTTAAGGGTTGAACATTGTTCCGTTTTCGCCTGCGATTGGAAAAAAGAACACTTTCAGACTTGAGAAGTACCAACTACTGAGACGGGATATTAAGGTACTTTGACCTGCCAGTAATTGTTGATCTGTGGAGAAGTATTGTACTTGAGAGATCTGTAGTTACAGGGGAAGTGCGGACGGACGGACGGACGGATAACTGGACAGCTGCTTGGATAAAGAAATGGACGCATTATAACACAGAATGAATGGGTAAACAGAGGGATGGAATAGTAGACCGTTGGATAAGCAGCAGTATACTTTGAAGTTCCCCAAATTGAAAACTGCTTTGGCATCGCCGTGCAAAGGTTATTTGCATTGCGGTAGGCATGATCGGCTGTCGAGAGGGTATGACAACTGCAATGATTGCCCGCTGGACTGGTTTCGGTGTCACTGGCACTGCAATTCTGAGTGTGGCCATCGCGGGAAGTTTGGCGGCTTGGAAAGTCTTCAGCCATGTTCATTCGTATTGATGATTTTACGATATTTTAGCTGGCTAACAGACCTCCCAGCCGTGCGTTTTTTGATTCGGAGTTCCACCTATGAGACCTTCTCTCGGAACCTGCTCCGTTTTTGCCCATGTTCATTGCATATCTTGGGGTTCAGGGGAGGGGCGCGACCAGGTTGGATGGTTTGGTATTCAAGCCGAGATTGCTGGAGAGGGTTTGGAAGTAATTCTTCCTTTGAAGATGCCATGGCTTTGGACAATCGCAAATGGGGCGGTCCTAACGATCGTGGCTGCTTTCGGTTTCCGCTACATCGTTGGAGTGGCCTGGGTAACAGGTCCTGCATTCTTTATTGTTGTGATTTGGGCATGTGTCACCAGCATTCAGGATCCACCTCTTACCAAGGAGGTCAATGATGCGGAATTGTCACTGCTTCAAGGAACGGGCATTGTTGTGGGAGGCTACATTGTTGCTGGCTTTGGCTTCAGATCTCTCATTTGATTTGTCATATCTTTGTGCCTATTCAATATCTCATAATACGAGGGGGGAACACCCATCACAAATGAAAACTTTGACAGTTGCTGGGGTGAGTCCTGCATCCCAGCTGGGATGTCCCAGAGCACACATGTTGCATCATGTTGCATCATGTTGCATCATGTTGCAATGAAACTGTGCAATTTCAGGTTGGCTCCATTGTTGTGTCAGACGTCTTTCGATTCAGTCGCTCAAAGCGCGCAGTGGTCTCGCAGGTCATGCTGCCCCGCACTCTGTCAATCGTGGCTTACATGATCGTTGGGGTCATTGTTGCTAGAGCCTGTGGAAGTGAGGATGTGATCAACATCATGAACAAATCAGTAGGCATCGGAGCTGTGGTGATCGTTGTGGCTGGAGAGATGGTGATCAATTGCACCAATCTGTACTTCTCTGGCTTAGCCATTGTTGCTTTCTTTGACACGTGCGGCTGCCACATTCCACGACCTCTTGTGACAATTGCATGTGGCATCATTGGAAGTGCAGCTGGCGCCATGGGCATTCTAAAAAGGTTCATCAACTTCCTAGAAGTTCTCGCGGTAGCCTTCCCGCCAGTGGCAGGTATCATGTGCTGTGAGTACTTTGTTGTGAAAGCATTTCGCGTGAATTTCGACGATCCTTCCGATTTGGTTGTGGTGATGCCGTTTTATGTTTGCTTTCAGCATTCAACTTAAGCAGAAACTATAGACAAAATACGTGAAACTACTGGTACTGCTTCCAGTGTCAGATGTTTTTGTTTCTGCAACCTGCAATGTTGGATAAGGCTTTCGAAGGCACTTGAGCAGCTCTAATGTGGATCTCTCTCTCTCTCTTTTTGTACTCGTATAATTACTGTACGTCTACGTATATAGATGAGTCAACCGACAAAATCATTGTAATACAAATTTAATTTTGCTTCGCCTTGGCCTTGCTGAGGGGGGTGCAAAACTTTCATTACTGATAGGGGACGACCCTAATTTGTGCATGGCATGAATATGAACAAATAATTTTGTCCGCTATTCATAATATATATATATATACTGTACATAGATATGTCATAGTTAAACAATGTTACAATTTACGCGTTTGGCCTGTACTTTATTTGCCATCACACTTCACACTTTGAAACATCTTTTGCGATTTTGGGATTATGTTGGCTTCCAGATTTGATTAGATTTGCAAAATATGTCTCCAACTTCAGCAGAATTATTGAATTTACTTTTTCATTTGAGAGCCACCTGACTGAGTGTTGCCTTTCGCAAAGGAAACTCGACCGTCTGGAGAGATGCCTAAATCCGCACCTGCTTTTCTCCCGCTGTCAATTGTTTCATGGCTGTCCGCTACCTTGCTGGGGCACTTCCTGGAAGGCATGCCATACCTGCACCTGGGCAAACGATTTTTGAAGAATTTCTTGTCCACCTCCGAATTGTTGGAATTGTGAAACTAGATTACAGTAACCATATCATCAGTATGGCTTGTGGTTTGGAACGCGTCGAAAGCAATGAAGACCAGGTATTCATTGTTTGGTGCAGCATTCGTATATGCAATCGGAAATTGTTTGGGATTGAATATTGTAATTCAAAACTGTCCAACAAATATATTTAGAAATTCAAATAATTAATTTGGAATATTCTTATATAAGATAAGAAATATATTGTATGAATTACATATATATGATATATCGATCGAAATTGGTTCCTAAATTTGAACTTTATTACAAGGAAAATTGTTATGTTGATTACTATAAATAAATATATATATATATTATATTAATTTGAACTTTACTACAAGAAAAATGTGCTTTTGTACATATATATAGTTAAGGGTCAAAGTCGTAGCGATCCTTTGCTTTTGAGTCTATGCCATTGGGCGAAGCTCTTCAGAGGGGTCGTAGCGATTGTGGTTGTGCCTATGAGATTTACAGTGATTTGTTGAGTCGTTTTAGAGGCCTTTGTGGGTTAAATTTATGTATTTCCGTTGGGTTCTTGGATGACCATATTATATATACTTTATTTGCTGAGGTTATTCCAGCATATTTAGCTTACATGGGGGAAACGTCTCTTTGGTCATTCCTCTTACATACCTCTGTTGGATGGGAGGGACGTTCATTTTCTTTATTTGATGGTTCGGGATGAAGCAGGGGTGCGGTGGCGCAGGGAGTTCCGCGCTTTATGTTGTGGTCAATGATGGCCCTGGGTCCTGTGTTTGACAACTCATGAATTAGGGGTCGTTCGGGGGGTCGTTCGGTTGTATTTTCAGCATTTATTTTTATTTGTGTTCTTTGTTTGTTCCTTCTTTTATCTTCTTTTTTTTCTTTCTCATAAATTGTTATTTCTTCTCTTTTCATTGTTTCTTTTGTTCACTCCGTCTTACTCCTTTTCAAATTAAACCATTCTGGCAGAATGATGGTTTGTAATGCAAAGTAGTGCTGGTAGAAAAGTAGTCTGCAGTGCGAGGGGTGGCCTTTCTCGTGTTTATTATAATGGTATTTTGTATCCTTTAAATGAAGGCAATCCCCTTGTGTTTTGATGGATTGCTGTGACCCTGCTGTGACCCGGTCGTGACGACTTTCCCGCAAGCGGTTTGTCTACATTTAAGAAAATTGCTCTGACTTCAGCCCTCGACAAATAAAATTATATATATATATTAATTTGGTGGAATAGTATGTTTCTTTTTTTTTAATATTATAATACCTTAATTTAATATATTATAATTAAAAATATATTAATTAATTATTATGATATTATGAAAAAAATAGATTATAATAATTAATTATTTCTAAATAATTATATTAAAATTATATTAATTTATTATATTAATTTATTATATTATTATATTATTATATATTATTATATATTATTATATATTATTATATATTATTATATGTTATTATATGTTATTATATGTTATTATATGTTATTATATGTTATTATATGTTATTATATGTTATTATATGTTATTATATGT